TGGAGGTCCAAAAATGTGGCTCTACAGGGGTCCCCATCTAGTCTTAAAGTCTGTATCACACAGAATATCACCCTTGGCAATCTTGGTTAAGTGTGGAGGTCCAAAAATGTGGCTCTAAAACCGACATTTGACACTGTAAAGTCCACCCTCATTTTGTACGCTTATGGAAACCCCCACAATGGCAGGCCAAATTAGGTGTGATTATGCTGCCAACTTTGTTGGCTTGACAAATTAGGTGTGATTATGCTGCCAACTTTGTTGGCTTGACAAATTGGGTGTGATTATGCTGCCAACTTTGTTGGCTTGACAAATTGGGTGTGATTATGCTGCCAACTTTGTTGGCTTGACAAATTGGGTGTGATTATGCTGCCAACTTTGTTGGCTTGACAAATTAGGTGTGATTATGCTGCCAACTTTGTTGGCTTGACAAATTAGGTGTGATTATGCTGCCAACTTTGTTGGCTTGACAAATTGGTTTGTAAACTTGGACTTCATCTTCTGAATACACTATCATGTACATATGTCTTCCCAGTGCAATTATTTTTCATTGTTATTTCACCATGAATAATAGATAGATCAATTTCAAATTGAAACCAGCATTGATCGGTAGTGTGGATTTCTTCGGACAATATTTTTCTTAAATAGTTCTGTAAAGTATATAAAATTATTCTAGATTATCATTATTTTGATGTTTGTTATTTGCAAAAATTTTTATGCAGTCATGTGTCACAGTTATCACAACAGTCTTTCACACATCAATACATTTAATCAGTTTCATATGATATGTCCAATAGTAAATTTGAATTAGGAAATTAACAAAGCCCTTCTGTAGACTCTTGCATTATTACTTGCGTCTATCGTCTATCTTTTTTACTATTTTCTGTTTTTATTCTATCTTTCAGACTCAAATTCTTCATTGGTCTTTGGGTCATCTGGTAAACTGGTAATCTTAGTTTCAGCGTCATAGCAAACTGGTCACCACATAGTTTCTCCGCTCCTGTGCCAACGAAAAACACACAGAATATATATCACTGTCCCATGTGGGAAGATTGACAGACTACTGTCTCAGCACATGCAATAGCATACACACCGATTAAATTCATACAGTAACCATCCAAAGTGCTAACACAAACAGTCTGACACTTTCATTCTTATTCATGTCTTGATAACTTGGTATTTTCACAGGTGCATTTTCTTTCTCACAAAAATCTTGGTTGTTGACATTTGTGTTTAAACTGTCCTCACATCCATTTATTTTTGTTTGAATTAAATTGTCTGGACTTCTCTGTTGTTAAACACATGTTGAGGATATGATCTCTTGTTCCTCTTCCTTGTCAAAATCCAGCTTGTGCCATGTTAATCTCTTCTTCCATTTTCTTACAAACTCTTTCCATTATGATTTTTAGTAGAATTGTACTTGCATGACTGATCAGGGCAACAGTTCTATAGTTCTATATCAAATGAAATGTCCTTCACTGTCTCATTTATACAAATTGTGAACAGCCAATTAGTCCCGGAACAAGCCAGAAATATACGCACACAGTAAATGCAAAGTTCAGTTATTAGAGGCACCAAAGCCAACATTCCCTACCAGACACGCAGTTTGTCATTGATGGAAGTAGTCGGGCACGATAAGCTCAACTCATTAGCCCAGGCAGTGAAACTATCCCAAGTATGTGGAAACTGCATAAGCAAAGTACTGTCAGCAGCAAAAAATAACTTCAAAGCTCAACATTCTGCTATGCCTTATCCTCCATTTTAGGCTGGAAGTTTCACGTGTACACTTCATGGGGATTCACACTGAATTTTAGGCTGGAAGTTTCACGTGTACACTTGATGGGGACTCACACGGAATTTGGGCAGCTTTTAGGCAACTCTGCCACATAAGAAAATAAAAGCAGTGTTTGAAAATAAACTTGTGCATTAGCATACACTACAATGATGCACCTACAAATAATAAACTTCTGCATTAGAATACACTACAATGATGCACCCACAAATAATAAACTTGTGCATTAGCGTACACTACAGTGATGCACCCACAAATAATAAACTTGTGCATTAGCATACACTACAATGATGCACCTACAAATAATAAACTTGTGCATTAGCGTACACTACAGGGATGCACCTACAAATAATAAACTTGTGCATTAGCGTACACTTCAATGATGCACCTACAAATAATAAACTTGTGCATTAGCATACACTTCAATGATGCACCTACAAATAATAAACTTGTGCATTAGCATACACTACAGTGATGCACCTACAGATAATAAACTTGTGCATTAGCATGTACTACAGTGATGCACCTACAGATAATAAACTTGTGCATTAGCATACACTACAGTGATGCACCTACAAATAATAAACTTGTGCATTAGCGTACACTTCAATGATGCACCTACAAATAATAAACTTGTGCATTAGCATACACTTCAATGATGCAGCTACAAATAATAAACTTGTGCATTAGCATTCATTACAATGATGCACCTACAAATAATAAACTTGTGCATTAGCATGCACTACAATGATGCACCTACAGATAATAAACTTTTGCATTAGCGTACACTACAGTGATTCACCTACAGATAATAATCTTGTGCATTAGCATTCTCTACAATGATGCACCTACAAATAATAAACTTGTGCATTAGCAAACACTACAGTGATGCACCTACAGATAATAAACTCGTGCATTAGCGTACACTTCAGTGATGCACCTACAAATGATAACCGAAGTTGACATCACTGATTGGTGTGAGACATGGTATAATTCACAGATTTTTTCCCCTTGCAGAAATCTGATTCCCCAGTAGTTACTAACACTGAACAGGCGCCCTCCACTCCTGCAAGCAGTCAACATACTGCCACCCTGGATACAGATGGAGCAGGTGCTCCTGTGGCAACAGAACCAGAGAGAAAGGATGCAGGCATTGTGGATTCAACTATATCAAATGGTGACTTGAGCTCCCAGTCTCTTGGGGTGAGTCTGATTTATTTTGTGTCAGCTTGTCTGTTGTCTGTCTTATATTTGTACAGGTGAGAGTCTCTGATTTATTATTTGTCTGGATGTCTGTCTCATATTTGTACAAATGAGAGGCTGATTTATTTAGTGTCATTTTGTTTGTTGTCTGTCTTATATTTTTTACAGGTTAGAGTCTTTGATTTATTCCTTGTCAGCTTGTATGTCCTATATTTTTACGAAAGAGGGTCTCTGATTTATTTTGTGTAATGTTTTCTATCTTATATTTGTACCAGTGAGGTGGGTCTATGAGCCAGCTTTCTGTGTTATATTTTTACTGGTGAGGGTCTCTGATTTTCTCTGTCAGCTTGTCTGTTGTCTCTCTTATTTCTTACAGGTGAGAGTTTCTGATTTATTTTGTACCAGCTTGCATGTTGTCTTTTATGTTTATACAGCTGAGTCTCTGATTTATTCAGTGTCATTTTGTTTGTTGTCTGTCTTATATTTGTACGGGTGAGAGTCTCTGATTTATTCAGTGTCATCCTGTTTGTCTTTGTCTGTCTTATATGTGTACGGGTGAGAGTCACTGATTTATTCAGTGTCATCTTTTTTGTTGTCTGTCTTATATTTGTATGGGTGAGAGTCTCTGATTTATTCAGTGTCATCTTGTTTGTTGTCTGTCTTATATTTGTACAGGTGAGAGTCTCTGATTTATTCAGTGTCATCTTGTTAGTCTGTCTTATATTTGTAGAGGGAAGAGTCTGATTTATTCAGTGTCATCTTGTTAGTCTATCTTATATTTGTACAGGTAAGAGTCTCTGATTTATTCAGTGTCATCTTGTTTGTCTGTCTTATATTTGTACAGGTGAGAGTCTCTGATTTATTCAGTGTCATCCTGTTTGTTGTCTGTCTTATATTTGTACAGGTGAGAGTCTCTGATTTATTCAGGGCCATCCTGTTTGTTGTCTGTTTTATATTTGTACGGATGAGAGTCTCTGATTTATTCAGTGTCATCTTGTTTTTTTGTCTGTCTTTTATTTGTTCAGGTGAGAGTCTCTGATTTATTCATTGTCATCTTGTTTGCCTGTCTTATATTTGTACGGGTGAGAGTCTCTGATTTATTCATTGTCATCTTGTTTGCCTGTCTTATATTTGTACGGGTGAAAGTCTCTGATTTATTCATTGTCATCTTGTTTGCCTGTCTTATATTTGTACGGGTGAGAGTCTCTTATTTATTCAGTGTCATCTTGTTAGTCTGTCTTATATCTATACGGGTGAGAGTCTATGATTTATTCATTGTCAACTTGTTTGTCTGTCTTATATTTGTATGGGTGAGAGTCTCTGATTTATTCAGTGTCATCTTGTTAGTCTGTCTTATATTTGTATGGGTGAGAGTCTCTGATTTATTCAGTGACATCTTGTTTGTCTGTCATATTTGTACAGGTGAGAGTCTCTGATTTATTCAGTGTCATCTTGTCTGTCTGTCATATTTGTACGGGTGAGAGTCTGATTTATTCTGTCTTGTTGTCTGAAGTCTTGTCTCATATTTGTACAGTTGTCTGTTGTCTATCTTATATTTTTACAGGACAGAGTCTGATTTATTCTTTTTGTGAATTGCCTGTCATATATTTTTACAGGTGGTAGTCTGTGGTGTATTCTGTGTCTTTTGTCTGTTGCCTGTCTCAAAATTGTACAAGTAAGAGTCTGAATTGTTCTGTCAGTGTGTCGGTTGTCTGTCTTGTTTTTCTAAAGATGAGAGTCTCTGATTTATTATGTTTGTGTTGTTTGTTAATATTTGTATAGGTGAAAGTCCCTGGCATTAGTGTAACAAAACTAGATAGTAGCGTGTATGTATACAGTCCCTGGCATTAGTGTAACAAAACTAGATAGTAGCGTGTATGTATACAGTCCCTGGCATTGGTGTAACAAAACTAGATAGTAGCATGTATGTATACAGTCCCTGGCATTAGTGTAACAAAACTAGATAGTAGCATGTATGTATACAGTCCCTGGCATTAGTGTAACAAAACTAGATAGTAGCATGTATGTATACTGTCTTTGGCATTAGTGTAACAAAACTAGATAGTAGCGGTATGTATACAGTCCCTGGCATTGGTGTAACAAAAATAGATAGTAGCGGTATATATACAGTCCCTGGCATTAGTGTAACAAAACTAGATAGTAGCGGTATGTATACAGTCCCTGGCATTAGTGTAACAAAACTAGATAGTAGCGATATGTATACAGTCCCTGGCATTAATGAAACAAAACTAGATAGTAGCGGTATGTATAAAGTCCCTGGCATTAGTGTAACAAAACTAGATAGTAGCGGTATATATACAGTCCCTGGCATTAGTGTAACAAAACTAGATAGTAGCGGTATGTATACAGTCCCTGGCATTAGTGTAACAAAACTAGATAGTAGCGATATGTATACAGTCCCTGGCATTAATGAAACAAAACTAGATAGTAGCGGTATGTATACAGTCCCTGGCATTAGTGTAACAAAACTAGATAGTAGCGTGTATGTATACAGTCCCTGGCATTAGTGTAACAAAACTAGATAGTAGCGGTATGTATACAGTCCCTGGCATTAGTGTAACAAAACTAGATAGTAGCGGTATGTATACAGTCCCTGGCATTAGTGTAACAAAACTAGATAGTAGCGGTATGTATACAGTCCCTGGCATTAGTGTAACAAAACTAGATAGTAGCGGTATGTATACAGTCCCTGGCATTTGTGTAACAAAACTAGATAGTAGCTGTATGTATACAGTCCCTGGCATTAGTATAACAAATCTAGATAGTAGCGTGTATGTATACAGTCCCTGGCATTAGTGTAACAAAACTAGATAGTAGTGGTATGTATACAGTCCCTGGCATTAGTGTAACAAAACTAGATAGTAGCGGTATGTATACAGTCCCTGGCATTAGTGTAACAAAACTAGATAGTAGCGTGTATGTATACAGTCCCTGGCATTAGTGTAACAAAACTAGATAGTAGCGTGTATGTATACAGTCCCTGGCATTAGTGTAACAAAACTAGATAGTAGCGGTATGTATACAGTCCCTGGCATTAGTGTAACAAAACTAGATAGTAGCGGTATGTATACAGTCCCTGGCATTAGTGTAACAAAACTAGATAGTAGCGGTATGTATACAGTCCATGGCATTAGTGTAACAAAACTAGATAGCTAGAGGTATGTATACAGTCCCTGGCATTAGTGTAACAAAACTAGATAGTAGCGTGTATGTAAAAGTCACTGGTATTAATGAAACAAAACTAGATAGTAGCAGTATGTATACAGTCCCTGGCATTGGTGTAACAAAACTAGATAGTAGCGGTATGTATACAGTCCCTGGCATTGATGTAACAAAACTAGATAGTAGCGGTATGTATACAGTCCCTGGCATTAATGAAACAAAACTAGATAGTAGCGGTATGTATACAGTCCCTGGCATTAGTGTAACAAAACTAGATAGTAGCGTGTATGTATACAGTCCCTGGCATTAATGAAACAAAACTAGATAGTAGCTGTATGTATACAGTCCCTGGCATTAGTGTAACAAAACTAGATAGTAGCGTGTATGTATACAGTCCCTGGCATTAATGTAACAAAACTAGATAGTAGCGTGTATGTATACAGTCCCTAGCATTAGTGTAACAAAACTAGATAGTAGCAGTATGTATACAGTCCCTGGCATTAGTGTAACAAAACTAGATAGTAGCGTTATGTATACAGTCCCTGGCATTAGTGTAACAAAACTAGATAGTAGCTGTATGTATACAGTTCCTGGCATTAGTGTAACAAATCTAGATAGTAGCGTGTATGTATACAGTCCCTGGCATTAGTGTAACAAAACTAGATAGTAGTGGTATGTATACAGTCCCTACCATTATTGTAACAAAACTAGATAGTAGCGGTATGTATACAGTCCCTGGCATTAATGTAACAAAACTAGATAGTAGCGTGTATGTATACAGTCCCTGGCATTAGTGTAACAAAACTGGATAGTAGCATGTATGTATACAGTCCCTGGCATTAGTGTAACAAAACTAGATAGTAGCATGTATGTATACAGGCCCTGGCATTAGTGTAACAAAACTAGATAGTAGCGGTGTGTATACAGTCCCTGGCATTAGTGTAACAAAACTAGATAGCTAGAGGTATGTATACAGTCCCTGGCATTAGTGTAACAAAACTAGATAGTAGTGTGTATGTATACAGTCCCTGGCATTAGTGTAACAAAACTAGATAGTAGCGGTATGTATTCAGTCCCTAGCATTAGTGAAACAAAACTAGATAGTAGCAGTATGTACAGTCCCTGGCATTAGTGTAACAAAACTAGATAGTAGGGGTATGTATACAGTCCCTGGCATTAGTGTAACAAAACTAGATAGTAGTGTGTATGTATACAGTCCCTGGCATTAGTGTAACAAAACTAGATTGTAGTGTGTATGTATACAGTCCCTGGCATTAGTGTAACAAAACTAGATAGTAGCGTGTATGTATACAGTCCCTGGCATTAGTGTAACAAAACTAGATAGTAGCGGTATGTGTGCAGTCTCTGATATTAGTGTAGCTCAACTAGATAGTAGCTGTATATATACAGTCCCTGGCATCAGTGTAACAAAACTAGATAGTAGCGGTATGTATACAGTCCCTGGCATTAGTGTAACAAAACTAGATAGTAGCGTGTATGTATACAGTCCCTGGTATTAGTGTAACAAAACTAGATAGTAGCGGTATGTATACAGTCCCTGGCATTAGTGTAACGAAACTAGATAGTAGCAGTATGTACAGTCCCTGGCATTAGTGTAACAAAACTAGATAGTAGCGGTATGTATACAGTCCCTGGCATTAGTGTAACAAAGCTAAATAGTAGCGGTATGTATACAGTCTCTGGCATCAGTATAATAAAACTAGATAGTAGTGGTATGTATACAGTCCCTGGCATTAGTGTAACAAAACTAGATAGTAGCGGTATGTATACAGTCCCTGGCATTTGTGTAACAAAACTAGATAGTAGCTGTATGTATACAGTCCCTGGCATTAGTGTAACAAATCTAGATAGTAGCGTGTATGTATACAGTCCCTGGCATTAGTGTAACAAAACTAGATAGTAGTGGTATGTATACAGTCCCTGGCATTAGTGTAACAAAACTAGATAGTAGCGGTATGTATACAGTCCCTGGCATTAGTGTAACAAAACTAGATAGTAGCGGTTTGTATACAGTCCCTGGTATTAGTGTAACAAAACTAGATAGTAGCGGTATGTATACAGTCCCTGGTATTAGTGTAACAAAACTAGATAGTAGCGGTTTGTATACAGTCCCTGGCATTAGTGTAACAAAACTAGATAGTAGCGGTATGTATACAGTCCCTGGTATTAGTGTAACAAAACTAGATAGTAGCGGTTTGTATACAGTCCCTGGTATTAGTGTAACAAAACTAGATAGTAGCGGTATGTATACAGTCCCTGGTATTAGTGTAACAAAACTAGATAGTAGCGGTTTGTATACAGTCCCTGGTATTAGTGTAACAAAACTAGATAGTAGCGGTATGTATACAGTCCCTGGTATTAGTGTAACAAAACTAGATAGTAGCGGTTTGTATACAGTCCCTGGTATTAGTGTAACAAAACTAAATAGTGACATGTACCTATAGGATTCCTGACATTAGTGTAACAAAAGTAGATATGACATGTATTTATAGGGTCTCCTGACATTAGTGTAACAAAACTAGATAGTGACATGCATTTATAGGGTCCCTGACATTATTGTAACAAAACTAGACATGACATGTATTTATAGGGTTTCCTGACATTAGTGTAACTAGATATGACATGTATTTATAGGGTCTCCTGACATTAGTATAACAAAACTAGATATGACATGTATTTATAGGTTCCCTGGTATTAGATGTATAATAAAACTAGATAGTGACATGTATCTATAGGTCCCTGGCATTAGACATGCGACACCAGACACATGAGTATTGGTGTAATATGGCTTCTTCAGTAAAGGTACACAGCTGATATCTAATGCCCAGACCATGACCTGACTCAGTCACCACCAGACCCAACATGTAGACCAAGGATTGACTATCCATTTCATTTTATGAGACTGTAAGCTGATGACATCTGTTTCGCCCACTCTCCAGCCAGATGGCAGATCAGCAGTAGATACGTTACTTTATGGCTGTAGAAACACCTAGTGGTTGAGCTTTATTGTTGTGTCGGAAGTTAATTATAGATTGGCTTTGTCTTTCTGTTTCTGGGCTTTGTCTTTCTGTTTCTCTCTCTGTGTGTGTGCATGTCTGTGTGTGTATTTTTATGTGTGTGTTTTTTTTATGTCTTGACAGTCAAAAGAGCAGAGACTCCCCCACCTCCTTCCACTCTGGTATTTTATGTAGGTTACTTCAGTTGAATTGTCTCATATCTCACAGTTCATATCTGGTTGTCTGTAGGTTACTTTAGTTGAATTGTGTCATATATCACAGTTCATATCTGGTTGTCAGGAGGTTACTTTAGTTGAATTGTGTCATATCTCACAGTTCATATCTGGTTGTCTGTAAGTTACTTCACTTACATTGTCTCATACCTCACAGTTCATATCTGGTTGTCAGTAGGTTACTTTAGTTAAATTTTCTCATACCTCATAGTTCATATCTGGTTGTCTGTAGGTTACTTCAGTTACATTGTCTCATACCTCACGCTTCATATCTGGTTGTCTGTATGTTCTTCTTCTTATGCCTTTTTATCCCCCAATGGAGCATAGGCCCTCAACCAACTCACGCCAAGTCGTTCTATCCTTCGCCATTACATGGAGCTCTCCCCATGTCCTCCCAATCTTTCTTACCTCATTCTCCAGCTCTCTTCTCCATGTGTTTTTTGGCCTTCCTTTATTCCTGGTTGGTTGGTTTTTGTGGCTATGGTTTTTACAGGATGAGGTAGCCAACCTCACGCCCAACCCTACCCTTAGTCGCCTCTTACGACATGCCTGGTAGGGTGCAGTGTCACTATTCTTTGCTTCCCGTGAGGGCCCCGGTGACACACGGGCGTGTCTGTATGTTACTTCAGTTACATTGTCTCATACCTCATAGTTCATATCTGGTTGTCTGTAGGTTACTTCAGTTACATTGTCTCATACCTCACGCTTCATATCTGGTTGTCTGTAGGTTACTTCAGTTACATTGTCTCATACCTCACAGTTCATATCTGGTTGTCTGTAGGTTAATTCACTTACATTGTCTCATACCTCACAGTTCATATCTGGTTGTCTGTAGGTTACTTCAGTTACATTGTCTCATACCTCACAGTTCATATCTGGTTGTCTGTAGGTTAATTCACTTACATTGTCTCATACCTCATAGTTCATATCTGGTTGTCTGTAGGTTACTTCAGTTACATTGTCTCATAGCTCATATCTGGTTGTCTATAGGTTACTTCACTTACATTGTCTCATAGCTCATAGTTCATATCTGGTTGTCTGTA